GAAAACGTCGGGGCCATAAAAATTAAGCAAATATTTGTGTTTTTTTGACATGATCTATTATTTTCTTTCCCACCTGCCTTGCCAACATGTGCACAAATTCATTTGGAAATTCTGGGAACAAAATAATTTAATGTTGGAAGTTTGTGACTTCTACTTTCTACAAACTTTACCCTACTCACAAACTTCCAACAATTATCTACCATCGCCCCTTGGACCTTTGAAGGACAGGTACTTCGGTCCATTGGGAAGTGACGTGTGAGTGAGCCAATCTGCAACATCAGGACAGGTACTGTGAGCCCATTGGCAATACGTCGCGCACCAAGCAGAAGTCATGTGTTAAAATTTGCGCACCTAATCGTCAGCCCTCGGTAGCTCAGGTGGTAGAGTAGCGGACCGGAAATTCGTGGACCGGGGTTCGACTCCCCGTCGAGGCATATTATTGTGCGTGAATTTTAATCGTGACTTCTACTTTCTACAAACAAAATAATTGCTGATTTTTCTCCGTATGTGAACTGTCACCAACCTTTTACGAAGAACATGGTCATACTTGACCAAAAAATGTATAAACTTCTGTAACATTCTCAGGATTTTCCTGTCCACGTTTATAATCCTGTCTTCTCGGTGACCGCGCAGCGCCATGTTCTGATGGGCGAGAAATCTGACAATATCCAGTAATCTGGCGAGAATTTAACTCCGCCTTTTTGTTTCCTGTTTAACTTTTGTTATTTTACTTTCCTGTATCTCTTGCTCCTTGCGGTTGAGGAGTTCCTGAGCATTCGATTTCCTGGATTCGTGTTCACATGCGTTTTGGTTTAATCTCCATCAGTTTCTGAAACCCTCATCAGTCCAAAAACTAGACTGTCCTGTTGGAAACAATCTGCAGCCGAAACAAAACAGGGTCTTTTGGGAAGCAGAAAGCACCATACATATTCACAATCTTTGCTCTCCGTTACCAAATTCCGAAAAACCCATTCGTTGTTAAATTCCTAGCTTCCTCTTTTGTAATCACTCCAGGTAGCGCCACTTATCGAATTCATGGTCGAGCTGTTGCATGGCAGTAGATGCGAGCCGGACAAACAGTGCGAATTCCATTGTCAATCTTAATGGGATTCATATAAACATCCGTAGAATCGGTTGTTGTGTCTGTTAATAATAATAATAATGTTTATTTGTCGTGCTACCAAAAAACCGGGCCCATAAAACCACGGATGGTATTTACAGGTGGAACGTGCTCACGCATACAGGGCTGCCAATGGTTGGATTTTATGCAAGAATGCCGAACCTACACCCTTGACGGCCAAACGCTATATCCCACACCCTCCGTGAAGGACCTAGGTGTACTCTCACGCTACGATTTGAAGTCCGTGGACAACACGAACAGGCTATATCGTAACGGACTGCGCATGCTTTGGGCGCTCAAACGTAGCTTCGGCACATGGTCTGAAGAGGTTGCCACTCGCCTGTTCTCTTCTATCATTAGACCAACGCTAGAGTACGATTCGCCCGCCTACTTTCCGATTACCCGGGGCGAGGCACAAAAGATCGAACGGGTCCAACACGTTGATACCAGGCTGATCCCGAGTTTACGTGGCTTTTAGTATGAAGACCGGATGCGAGTCGACCTCATTATGACCTACCGTATTCTACATCTCGGTGACTTCCCAATACTAAGGCCAATGCTGCACTTACGAGGGCTATGCAACACACGCGGACACAGATACAAACTTGTCGTGCCGGATGTGAAATGTGTTCCCCACCCACTGTGCTTCGAACGGAGAGTGGTAAACATTTGGGACAGTTTACCTGAACATGTGATTGAGGCAACATCTGTGCAACAGTTCAAAACGTTGTTAGATTTGTATTTTGCCACTATTAGATTCAGAGAACGACTGCACACCTACGATGACATATCACATTTGTGAATCCTGAAATATCGTAAGTCAGATATTTTAAATATTACAAGAGAACGACAACGATATTCACGGTTGACAACTTTTATAACGTTTTTCACCATATTTCGAAAGAATTGTACAAAATCCATTTCTACTTGCTCTATAATATAGTATTCAGTATTCAGTAATGCAATAGGTAAGCTTTTAAGACGGGACTCATTTGGGGCTTTCATTGTCGTTTCCTTTCATTTCATGGACATTCTAGATCTAGTTAGTGAACTGACTTGATCAAGCAAGGTATGTTGTTTTCTGCGTAATGATTGAGAGGCTAGGTGGGCTCCATGCCTTTGCTTTCAGCTTTCACTTATAGGTTAAGATTTATAGCCTACATGGTAGTGTCACGGAAAAGGTAATGTTGAAATTAGAGAATAAATAGACAAATTAAATAATGTTTATTCCGCAATGCTAGACACATCCACCTAGGCGTGTACAGCGCATTACGATCTCGTACAAAACGCTGAACACAAGGTGACTGGGAAAGTGTACATACAGTTAACCGATTTTTGGTATAAAGGCTATCAAGGAAAGAAATTGCGACTAATATCAAGATCGTACTCTAAGGAATAAACTAATTGGTGATATCGGTAAGACAATAATAAGATATAATTGAGGCAGCCAGGAACAAGACCCACAACAGATTGAAGGCAAAGAGGGAAGTATTGTAAGAAAGACCAAGCAAATTATATGATCATCCCTGGGACTGTCTCCTTGCGAGGGGCTTCCATGCGCGGTACTCCCTCGAGAGGTTTCACCCGCACATCCACACCCCGTCTGCTCGTGTGTCGGCGTAGCTTAGATAAGGGTTAACCACCACCGATTTCACTTATCATTTGGGCTTCTTTTTTGTAATCTAGCCACTCAGCCAGTCAGTCCGTTCATCATTCATTGTTTTTTGTACGTGCATGATGACCGTATTCACCGGAATTAGTGGCATCTGCCACTAGTTGTGAATTCAACAGTTCAAGGTATACTGTTTCTTTTCAATACACTTTTATATTCACGAGTGGATTTTTGGCCATCCACCCTGTGCGGATCATCATTCCGCCTTGAAGCTCCATTCCATCACCTCAGGAGAAGGGCACAGCCGTAACCAACAAAAAGAAAAACAAACAAACATAAATACAATGAAATAAGATAAGCGTAACAGGATAGAAGTAGCAAAGTAACAATTAAACAAATTGTCTGTCTCACGACAGTGTATGATGCCATCATATTGGTTGGTGGGATAAATGTTTACGGAAATTAGGAAAAATCGATTTCAAGTTATTAATGGGTTGGCTTCTTGTTTCAACTCGAAATTAAAGGTGCAAGTTGTGCCAGATATTTGGATGCCTTTCCAGTTCTTCACATTCACACGCGACGTATGCATCAACATTACAGACATTTCTCGTTGCATCAATGCTGTTAGTGTGGCTTCTGTTGCCTGGATATCATGGTTGACGGTACCACTGTCACTTTCGCTCTCAGTATGATTATCGCCCTTTGTTTTTGCCACTTCGGTCATGGAAGTAATTCTGATGAATTTACACTCGCTATCGAACAATTGTCTGCACTAAAATGCCACTGCCTGTCACATACCCACTGGGGCGGACCGTCTTCCTCGCCCCCCTGTGCTACGCCTCTATGTTTACACTATGGAGAGGCTCATGAGGGCGATACTTTTTATTGATGCCTCGACGCTGACTAAGATTGTTTACTCAGGGCAGCTGGGCCTCACATCCATTCCCACCTTATTTGCCCTTGTTATTCTTCTTCATTAGTAACATCTTTGAGATTTTATAACTACAACGCGCCAGTGCAATGAGCTAATACACTCCCACTGCTGATGACACCGATTCGGCCACTGTCCACATAGCCCACACTTGTTCTTGTCGAAATGCTGCCAAATATCTTGCTAAGTCACTCATCTATGATCCGAACATCGAAAATGTTAGAAGTTTTGGTCATATGAATACAATGAAGGAAACGGCACAATCAAATTTATACGCAGCATTACAGCAGTGAAGTTTCCTGAGGGATTTGCGCGTCTGTCAACTGCTCTGGCCGCTTTTGCTTGATGTTTCACACTGAACAGACATTATACAGATATCCACATGTCTGGATCCAGCGTAGTTTCTTCACTGTTGTTACTTGAGCTTGGTCTGATCACTGGTCAAAAAGCATCTTGGTTGCTCCTCATTGGCGACGATGCTTCACTTTTATAATGACCATACGTGACGCCTGTTGAGATGATAAGCTGTACCCGGACTCACCTTGCATTTTCACATAGGAAGGATATGACAAGCTAAAATAGTCATCAGTTTGATAAAGCACGGGAAGATTGACCTTCACATGTTATGACCGCAATCTGCATGAATGTGCGAGGTGCTCAAATTCTGTTGGATGGGAAAACACCAGAGGTATCACGAAATTCCACAACCCTGCTCGTTTGACCCCTACAGCTTGATGACATTCGTCCCCCATTGTGTCCAGTTACAGCGTACGATTGTCCAATCATGGTTCCCTTTCGTGAAAACCCTTTTCATATATGAATACTACAGACGGATGAAGCCGTTTTCTGCCTTTTGGGTTACCATATTTTTACTTTGGAATAGGTATTTCTCTCATCTTTCACGACAGATATGATGCGTCGATGTAAGACACTCAGTATACGTTGCATGGATGGATACGACTAAGATCATTGTGTTTCCATGTGTCCACAGTTGAAATGTTTCCACCTTATCTTAGTTGGCATCTTCTGGTGTTTATATGACCTGAGCTGCGCGATGGAATTACACGGGATCATTTAAACTTCATTTACTCCACCATTAAACAAAAGTTTAATGTCTACAGTATTGGTGACCGGGTCCATTGGATTCCATTCTTGTGAACCATTAAGACCATTACACAAATCAACAAATCCTTCCTCAACTGAGGATCTGACTGGTTCTGCGGATGCTCATTGTTTTCACACTGTACAGATTGAAGTACTCCATAGGAGCTTTACGCCGCTGTCTTGAATTGGATGCTTCCATATACCACTGTCTCACATTCTTGATTTGCTTACAGGATGAACCTTTGGAACCTGCACTACGTCTTCTCCCTGGCTTTTACGGTGCAATAATCGTTACCAACTTGATTACCATTTTGTTGGGAGGATCCGAAGGTACGTTTTCCAACTGTCTATTCTCAAATAGATTTCACTCGGTGAATTCATTCGACACAACGATGTACTCAATCTACTTTTTGGTCATGCCCCATCATTACTCATACGTGTGTAGTCGTATGATTTCAAGAGTTTACTCTCCATTCATTCACATTGTGTCCAGATTCTAACGCTGCAAAATGGGTTAGGTTCCGTAGGATATGAGCGCTTATTCATGTAGTGTTTGCAAGCACGTTATTATTAGGTGCCATAAATGTACCACTTACGCTAAGGCTCAAGCCTTTAGGCTTGCAAGGTGGGAATAAACAGTTAAAGATAGTGGACTCTCTTTATGATACATTCATTCACTTTACTGATGTCGTGGTTTGTTCCAGCATTTTCTCCCTACTTTAGCTAGTTGCCAGTCCACACCATTACCACTGGCTCCGCTGACGTGCTCCTAACGCATTTTTCCCTTTGTCATGTGTTGCTACACAATAGCTGAAGTGTTTCCCGCCTCTAACTAAGGTGTATAATGATGATGATGATCTGAGCTACCTAAATGAACCCGTTTTGTATAAAAAATAACCAACCACACTTTGTGCAAATAGCGCTCGCCTGCTTGTCTTGCTTGGTCCAAAAGCTCACTAAATTTACCAAGATAATTGTCTCCGGGAATGCTGTATCCCTTGTATCGAAATCGCTGACAATAATGCAAATGGAGCAATCTAGTTTCAGCAGTAACTTTGGAGAGACTTGGTCCTCAAAAAGCTTCGATTCCGACATGAACGTTTCAGACGAGATGTAGATGTTTCCGGTGATGTTGTCCCCTTTGAAAGTGCATTCCACAACGGTTTTACACTTGCTTTTATTTCTCAGATAGTGGTGCAGCTCTGACGGAGGACGTGGGGGTCACTGACTGACCTCTTTACTCCCACGCCAAAAATTCTTATCTTGAGTTCTTGTCTCTTGTCTACAACTATGGTACCAGTACCGAGTATTTAGCAGAACATGGTACTTGTGGATGTCTGAAGAGGAGAACCGCTTACCCTTAATCGAATGACGCATTGAAATGAAAACTCTTGGTCTTCTATTCTGCTGAAATCACCCATTTGTCATTACCAACCTTGTCATCACTGTCAGGGAGTTAGTTGGATGTACCAGTAAGATCATTTCTCCCACTTTTACTATTTTGTTAATCTCGTCACATTTAATCTCGTTGACGTCACCGATATTGTTTTTCGTGCAGATATGACGTCCAGCTTATCTGTCTTGCTTTATAGCCCGGGTCACTATGTTCTCACCCCTGACTTTTTAACTACAGTCTATCTGAAACTAAGCTCTTTTAGTGGAGATATTTAAATTTTAAATTCCGCTCCTCTTTCGACTAACGGCAACCTTATCGTTATCAGCTATTTGTGCTTCGATTCCTCTTGACAACCCAGAAATATAGTGTCATAGTTGTGCCATAACACTTCTTGAGTGACTGTTGCTTATACGGGTTTCGGTCCTGCACCATTGCGTGTTACCAAGGGTGGTGCTTGAGATCAACATGATCACTACCACTTTCGGATCCACTACATTATCTTGGCTTCTCACCATCATAATCACAGCCATAACAACTTAGCCGAAGATAATAACCACACTTCAGCTATTGTGCCGCAATTCAAAAAGATAACATAAATGAAAAAAGAGAGCTACTAGGTATTACACAATACGAAACCCGAAAAAGGCATTATAATGCTAATTATAGGGTTATGGATCAGGTACGAAATCAATGTTGGGCGGGAAGCTAAACAGGAGGAGGAACATATGAGCTCACAGCACAAACACCGATGGCATCGACCCTGTTAAGATTGGGAAATACCTCTGATAACAATTTGAGCCTGATACGATTGTCACTGGCACGGGTTGAGCACGCCTACGATAACGCCTTGGAACGCTGGCTGATCGAACAGATTTGCGCTGACGTGATGGCGTTAGCTTAGCCCGGAAGACACGCTGCTGAGGCGGAAATTAGCGCTAGAGTGAGAACGTTCCCAGCCACACGTATTCGGGTAGACGCTGAGCCCTCGTAACGGACGAGACTACGCACACGAGAGGGGGTGATGGTAAACGTGCGAAGTGGCTTAGACGCGAACGCTTCTTGGCTATCGACACACACACAAATCGCGTGACCGAACCGACTCCAAACTAACGGCGAAGCGAAAGCAATACAAGTGGTCTTCTGAAGGCTCTTTTACGACAAACAAAGAGTGAATCACAGCCAATACTAGGGGTCATTAAGCTAGCGAAAATAGCTACCGTGACGGGGTGATAGTTTGTAAAAAGAACATTGTTAACATGTGCGCAGTTGTACCGCGTCTCGGATTGGCTGAAATCTGCTGCGATGGGGGGAGGAATTGAACTCCGTTTTCCACAGCCATTGCGCCGGAGTTTGTCGCACGTTTTTACGGGGATATTTGACGGGCCCGCAACATCTCCCTTTGAAGAGAAAGCGTACCGCTTCTGACGAGGATTGACCTGGGGGGATTTCGGCGACCTCCGGCTTCCTCCTATTCGTCGACAAGGCGGCTTCTCCATACGCAGCGGCGACTGACCGGCTTCGACCGTGGTCTCTCGTTGTGTAGCCAATCCAAAGGTATCCAACAGGATGTGCAGCCGCAGGCGCACAGGAAGGCTGGCTGGCGTGGAGGGTTCTCCGTGGTGCGGTCGAAGTTGATTGCGATGGCGAACTCACGTGTCATCACCCGCGGAGACATCATGCAGCATGTCACCTCGCCTGGCCGTCACTGTTGTTTTGATCTAGCCTGGATGACCTGTTCGATAATCGCGAGCGTAGACCGGAGCTCCATCGACGAATTCTTTGTACTTGGTGTAGGCACTAGAGTGACTAGGTGGCTTATCAGTCGGAATGAGCGCTTCGTTGGTGTTGCGTAACTTGTGGCCCATGAATGCTTCAGCTGGTGGCTGACATCCTGGTGTAGCTGGTTTCGATGTGGACCGGTTCGAGAGCAGGAAAGCTTGAAGACACTAATCCACGGTCCCCTACCTTCGAGATTTCAAGAGCGCCCTCTTGAAGGTGTCGACAAATCTCTCCGCTTGACCATTGGGTTGGGGATGGTAAGGCGGTGAGCGGAGGTGTTGGATGCAGTGTCGGCGACAAAAGTTTTCGAAGATGGAAGACGTAAACTGGGAACCGTTGTCGGACACCAAAACCTCGGGAAAGCCATGTTTACTGGAGATACCTTGTAGACAACCCAGAGTGGCGAATGCGGTTGGTGGGTTGACGGTGACCACTTCTGGTCATTTGGAATAGGCGTCAACCACAACCAGATAGGAAATGCCATCGATGGGACCAGCGTAGTCAATGTGCACTGGGGACCACGGATTTGCTGGCGGATGCCAAGGAACTGGTGATTGGTGTGGTGGCATCTTTGAAGCTTGTTGACATTTTGAGCAACGGCGAACCAGAGCTTGAATTTCTTTGTCAATGCCAGGCCAGTACACATAACTGCGGGCAGTTGCCTTTATTCTGTTCATACCGGGGTGAGCAGTATGGAGCTGGCGGAGTACAGCTTGCCGGAGGCATGAAGGAACGACAACTGGATCTGCAGTCATGAGGCAGGAATCGACCACGGAAAGGGAGTCACGGCGTTGACGTAGTTGTTTGAGTTCACCAGACAAGGCAGTGTTTGGCCAGCACGTCTGAACGTAAGTGACGGCTTTCTGTAAGACAGGGTCTTGAGCAGTTGTACGACGTATGCCGGTGGCAGTACTGGGAATACTTCCGATAGCGTTCGAGAGTTGATGACGAACTTCGTCCTCGAAGGTAACAGCGGCAATCATTGTGCCTTCTTCTGCTGGCATGCGCAACGCGTGGCCCAACCGTCAAGGTCTGGTGCGTGATATAGCGGTTCTGAGCGGTCCACTCGCTCTTCCTGCACCGAACTCGCGCCATCGAACACGCTAATTGTTCACGCGACGTTCCAGTCAGGCATGAGCCATTCTGAGAGTGCAGCGATGGTCAAACGTAGCAAGCCTTTTTATGCCTGTCGACTCGATGGGTCAGGATTAACAACCGTACAGGGGGGTTGAACGGACGGCTGCATTGTAAGCTCCGCCCTTCAAGGTGAGAGTGATGTCGCGCTTCTGCGACAAGTGGCTGGGATTGGTAAAATCGTCCCTTTAAACATTGGCCTGTTTGTCATGAGGGGATACGAAGGCACTTCCTGGGTGCTACCCAGTGCAGCTCAGCGTCAGGTCGGTTGCTAGCGGGCGGTGGTCGAACAGCTTGCTGACACGTCCTCGCCACTCGAGATGACATCATCAGTGCAATGTTGTGTAGCCAAATGGAGTGCTTCTCTTGTGAGTGTGCAAGTAGCTTACCTTGAGGTTAGCCCTAATCTGAATACCACCACGTAGTCGGAACCTTCTATAACTAATGTGTTCACATTTCTTTTCCCGTTTCCGTAATTTATCCTCTTGTCCAAATCTAGTTTAAACCATATGCTCACCCAGTGGAACCATATCACCCAGAGGTCGGTTGTTTCTACGACTCTCGTAAACTGCCAACTCGGCATTTAATGTTATTGATTTGTGTAACTAGGTCGTTCGCCTCTGTCACCTTGACACGGATTGGCCTCCATTTGAAAGAAACGTGCATCCTTTGGATTTGACGTTCCAATGACCCAACTCAGACCATTGGTTTTATTCCATTCCAACCTGATCCACCCGAGGCCTAGGCCAAGATGAAGTATAGCTGCATTCACTTATGTGCACTTCCCCACTACTCACAGTGCGCCTTCCTGTAATCCAGCATCCTTTTCTGTCTTGTGGTCACAGCTATCATACTCTTCTGTCCATTTTACTGCTACATATGATCCCAGGGCCACCGCGAGTTTGTTCAAATTGGGGCACGTCCCTGCACCGTGACACTAGAAAAGTAACAATGGCTAACCAGGAGGGCTAGCGGATGTTGGGAAGTCTTTTGAAACTGATTCGAAAATAGAATTGTTGCCTTTTGGATGTACGCGTGATACCCATAGTGTGAACATGTGTTCATTGAATACATGTGAATATGTCTCCGTCTCTGTTGACGTCATCGTTGTCTCTCGAGCAAGTAGCCAAACTTACTAACCACCTCATAGTATGACAAGATTAAGTAGGACAAGGCAGAACGACCAATCGTTTTCAGTTATGCTGTCTTTCAATGAGTCGCCTTATTACTACTTTATGCTATCAGTCTCAACAAGATTTGCCAATATTTAGAGTTCGCTGTAAGACCAGATCACCCTTTCGTGTTTCGAGTAAAGAATATTGTCCTAATTCTTCAAAATTTGCTCATTATTTCTTTTTCCTCTGAACAATTCATTCCGACGACATTCATTATTGTGCAAGCAACCGGTTTAGACAAACCGGGTCGATGTTAGTACTGCTCAAGTAAACGGCTGGCAAACTCTTTGTCCCCGAGTTCCAGTCTCTGATCTCACGTGGATTTTGGTATCTTCAATGTTCCAGTCGCGTACAACCACTTGCGCTCAAGTGTGAGGCAGTGGAACAAGGCACTGTTTGAACTCATAGTACCCAGACTCATCATCATCACTATGCAAGCTAGCTAGAGGTGTAAAACACCTCATCTACTGTGCCGCAATACATAAAAGAAAATAAATGCAACAGTTGTATGCCAGCTGAGCTACCAGCAACGGATGTGCATCGTACCGGAATGCTACCAGCCGGCTACTAGGCAACAAAAATTATTATGTAAAATTATATTATGCTACGAAATGAGATCGTGCTTGGAGGGGGAAGCTAAAAGGGCTGGGGAGGGATAAAGAAACTCACAGCGGAAACGCCACTGAGGTCGGCTCCTGGCCGTGTTAGCAAGTGCATCTAGCCAAACGGGTTCACCGTCTTTTGGACCCCAACCAGGGAGCCGAGGCCAGCTCCGCATTTAGGGCCTTCATTCTTCTCGAGCCTGTCTACAAACTCCCAACCCTACACCAGCTTCCAGCATTTGGTCCATGTATCTTATTTGTACCTATTGTCACCAAATGCGTATTCACTAACAGGTAACCATCAGCTTTATCAATATCACTTCCCCACAGCCCGCTTTTTGTATTACAAGTGAGCTTCGCGGGCGAAAAGAATCGGTACAGGGTGCTCGGATGCGAATTGGTTCTTCTTCCTTTGTGTCCACTTAATAACACCGTTACGCTGGTGAAACGAAGAGCCACCATCTGTTGCTCACCTTATTGAACGATTTGGGAATATCCTCGCCATTGTCATACCAACTTCATCTAATTTATTTATCGCAGTAAGCAAATCCGGTCGACACCAGATAAATGTGACCATTGCGCCGCCTACCCATAATCCAATCATACTTCCTTTTAGCAACCTTTTTATGATGCTAACTATATAACGTGTCTGCTAGCCTTGTTCCGACTACCGATTTTAGCCATTCCCATCGTTCCAGCGTCGTCACAGTGTTTGTCATATCATCTCTTAACTGTGACAAAAGTACACTTTAGCTCTTTTTTAGGGAGAAGTATGGTGATATCAGCAGAGAAGCTGGCACCAGCCATATACATAGCATCAAAGTAATCCGCACGTCTCACTTTCACCAAACATCTAGTTGTAAACAATTTACATTGGACAACTTAGCAACATCCGACCTTCTTCCATTTTTTTTACTGTATGCACTGGTTGTTACATGTTCATACTAGTAGCTAACACATTCCCTTCTACACCCCTCTATAATGCCTCCCAGTCTTTCAGTTTAACAGAATACCAATCTACGGAGTTTTCATCATTAGCTTTGGTGCAGGGACGATAATAGTTCTCCTAATAAAGTTGTGGATTCTTCCTATACTTCGGCGACGCATTCTTGGTGAGTTCTCCCATATTATTTGAATATTTAGTGGGTAGTGAATATTTCGGATGGGCTCTTACGAACTAAGAAGATCGTTCAATGTGTTCGGATGTTTGATGTCTACGTTTTATCCTCCTTACATTACATTTCCGTTGATTTTCGAAAAGAACCACCTGGCTGTCTTCACAGCTCCAGCGGTGAAACAACAACAGACATAGGACAATGTCGTGAATGACATTGTTAGGAGTAGGATTTCTCGTTTTGTCTATATTGAATGTGGTTGTCAGCCAAATACAGTCTGTTAACTGTTTTCTCATGGCGTGATAGGGTACTGTGCGAATATTTAGACATGCTCTCAATGAATGTCCTTTTGAAATGATCAACGGATACAGGTTTCCATTCGTAGTAGTTACATAAAGCAACTTGTACCTCATACCTCTTAGCCATCCATCATTCATAAGTTGTGTGACATCTTTGGGAATTGATTGAGCTGACTCGTAGTTAACATGACTGCTGATTTTGCTGTCTCATGCAAATCTTCCACAAGTATGGGTAATACCAACTCCTTTACGGTTTTGGAAATTAATGTGATTTTCGCTTTAATAGTCAGCATTGTATACTATGGTTGCTTAACTTTGTTAGTCTTGCAGGAGAGTTCGCGGACCTAGTTATCATTTTAGTAAAGTCTGGCCCCACCTCCAGTGGCGTTTATCGAGCGCTTCGAATAAAATTTTTATCCGAACTAACAATCATTTGGCTTGGCCATACTCTACCACCACATAACCCATTCTTAGATATCCTTGTGATTGCGAAACCGAGTGGCGTTTCGGCTCGAATTTCTATATATATATATATATATATATATATATATATATATATATATTACATTCATTATGCTTCTTCACCGCAGTTGGGCTAAACCAACTTGCATATAAACTTCGTCTTTTTAATGTGGATAAAATTTATTCCACTTTATTTGGTTTGTTCTGAGTACCTGATAATATTCTACTAACTTGAACACGTCACTCATGCTAATTGTGGTAAACTTGCGTAACTTTATCACGTGGTGTTTTATACATAACCCGGACATTTTGTAATTATCGCGAATTCGCTGATAACCAATTTACTCCATATGCTCATTTAGCGAGTATGTATCTCGCCATATCCGTTTACTTTATTCGATATCTTTTATTTGATATCGTCCTTTCGAGTGATTGGCTGTTGTTTGACATGGCCGGTATGGCTGCGCTTCATGTACATGTTGACAAGGTGCCTACCTGTCCTATTATCCCCTACCTCGTCCACACTGGCTCCAAGAGACAGTTGGTGTTTGCTGGAGCGGACGGGGTGCATGGTCCCCGTGACCGTGTTATGCTCAAAGAGTTTGCGTGTGGATCGGGCTACGGCATAACCACCGCTTTGTGTGCGCTGCCAGTTTGTTGAATAGATGTCAAGTCATATAAAGCAGGCAAGGCAGCCAAAAATATAGGGTAATGTGAGAGTGTGTGTCAGACAGGCCGCCTCGCGTGCTCGGCGACCTCATGCACCAGAACCACAATAGTAGAGCAGTGGTTGAAAGTGAAGTTTACGATTTGGGCTAACACCTTCCTTTGTAAACACGCTGTTCTCCTGACTCGTAAGAATGAAATACAGGGTTCACCTCTAAATGTGACTGGTCAGTTGACTTTTCCATGTGGATCACCCAGCGCCTCTTACACACTTCTGTCGGCTCATTGAGGTCCACAGTTCTTGGTATTCCAGACGTGTCCAGCACTACATCTAACAGCAACTCGGAAGTGCTAGTGTTCGGTCCCTCGTCTGCGTAACTGATTAATATGCCGAACGGCAGATAACCGTCCAATGGACACCTGGTATAGCACAGTGCCTTTCATATCACTGCAGATTGCCAGGTTTGGCGGTTCGGGTTTGCATGCAACGCGTACACCGGCTCCCCTGGAAGAAAAGTCATGCTCACACTTGACGTGAGTTACCGTTACATGACATTCGGGTGTATTGCATCAAATGGTAGACATCTTTCACGTCCGAACATGACTTCCTCTGGAAATCTGCCGCCTGGTGCACCGGCGTTAGGCGTAGCCCGATAACGAGAACAGCTGTATGGTCTGCCCTGTCCGTCCTCGTCGCATTTTTAGAAGTGAACGCTTGAAGGTATCCACGGATCTGCTTGCCCGTTGGACTGGGGATTCCCCGGAGGCGACCGTCAATGGTTGTTGCCATTATGCCGACAGATAGCATCAAATTCACCGGAGCTGAATTGCACATTGTTATTGGAAACCAAGGTGTTTGGTTAACCGAACTGTACGTATAACTGTTGTAGTTTACGTGCTGTGGCCGCTGCCATGGTATGCATCCGCTCACTTCATATACGCATCAACCACAATTAAAAACACTGACTTTCCACTGATTAGCAAAATCAACGTAAATTCTCTCCCAAGGCTTAGCTACCGGCATCCAGAGTTGGATGATTTTACTTGGAAGTTTCGCTGCTGAGGCACATTCGTTACATGTGGTGGCACAATACTGAATATCATTGTCAATAAAAGACTAGTATGCGTAATTCCTGGCTAGATCTTTGATCCGTGAAATTCCGGAAAGATTTAGGTGCACAAATATCTTACTGCACTTACGTTTACCGAACATGTCACATTCATCCACCAGTGCCAACGAGTGACGTCGACAATAAAATTAATGATGCGTGCCAAGAACGTTTTGCAAAAGAGGGTCGATTTTGGTGCACTCCTGAATGCCTAAAGACGTAATCGGAAGTGCTCTGAGTCACACAGTAGCCGTTTCACGTCCGATTCAAGCGCAACTGACGCGATCACCTGGTCTTCTTCTAAACTCGGCTGTTTTGCGATAAGTCGAAACAGTGCAGCGGACTAGCTGACTCTGCCGTAGGCACATAAGCCATTGTAAAATTATATCCGAGCAACAGTGTCGCCCAGCGTCGGAGGCGATTCGTCGTGTACACAGATAAACCCTCCTTTAAACCGAAAATGGCTAATAATGGTTTATGGTCATTCTCCAATACAAACTCTCCACCCTGCAACATTCGATAAAACGTTTTGACAGCAAAAGTTAAAGGTAGTGCCTCTTACTCGATATGTGAGTAGTTTCTTTCAGACTGCCGACTTACGACAACTTTAAGATGCAGCCTAAAGCGAAAGCATACTCATAACCTTATCATGGGTGATTTCAATGTACACTGTTTGGAAAATCCTGCTACAATCGGAGAGCCATTCAAAGCAGATCTGCAAGGGCTTATAACCAGTGTTCCACTTTACAATCACGTCATTACACCCACTCGTTTCAGATCAGGTAATAGACCTTTGCTGGATCTTGTTTTCACCAGCAAGAAACATATGATTGATGCATGGATTGTTGAATGCCCTTTGGGTAACAGTGATCATGCGATCATCAGTTTCCACTTCCTCTGCTATGCGGAATATCGCAACAGAACCCTGAGTTGGTGCGTGCCATTACGCGCTACGACCGCTTAGCCCAGTTTGTCAGTGCCACAACCTGTTCGCTCCTCGCTGAAGACCATCCGGAAGTCGCTTGGCTTGAATTCGTCAGCAAATTCAATCAACTGGTTACGGATGTTTCAGAGACAAGATTTTTCAAAACCTTTTCTTTCGTGAGGAGCAGAACTAACAACTGGATGACTATACGCAACGCAGCCTGGCAAGAGTACAGATCATCAACGCCATATAATTGAAAAAACTACGTTGCCCATCGTAACCACTGCACTGCTCAGAGATAACAAAGTGGCATATCAGCAGAATATGGCGAAAACTTTCAGCGCTAACCACAAACTTCTGTACAAGTATGCCAATGGACGTTGTAAGGTGCGGCAGGGAATTCCTTCGCTCCGGACGACTGATGGTCCAACTAGAACAGCTATAGAAGCGGCAAGGCCGTTACGGACGCAATATGCTCCCACATGTCAGTAGGTCACCATCAGGCCATCTTCCAATTTTTGTTTTCCCGCCTCCAGGACTTACCCACATATCTTTTACTGCCCACGCTATTTTACGGAAGCTGACGTCTCTGTGCATCCACAGCTCCTCCGGAGTCAACACTGTTTCCGCAGAGGCACTGGGAGCAGCAGCAAGACAACTGACAAAACCTTTGGCACAGTTCTTTCAGCGCTGCTTAGACCAGAACCAGATTCTTGCTATGTGAAAACTTGGAATAATAACTCCGATTCACAAAGGCAGAAGCAGGACTGAGCCCTCAAACTGCCGCCCAGTGTCCCTTCTCGCTGCATTGTACAAGGTCATGGAATCCATCGGTGCCGGTGCGTTGGTGTGCTAGCTAGAAACTTGTAACATTATTACTCCCAAGCAACACGGCTTTCGTCGACCGCGATCATACACGACGAATTTCTTAGTATCTCGGAGTAGTTGGACCGAGTCAACTGACGATGGAGAGACCGCTGATGTGATCTACTTGGATTTGTCGAAGACGTTCAATCGTTTAGATCATCTGGTTCTCTTTTCCATGCTCCAATATTACGGGATCGGTGACTCTCTCTTGAACTGGGTTGCCAACTTTCTACTGCAACGATAATTAGTAATGAGAGTCCGGAGTTCCCTATCTGAACCCATACCAGTCGAGTCTGGTGTGCCCCAGGGCTCAGTTCTAGGTCACGGTTGTTTTTGGTATTCATCAATGACCTTACACAGATATCACTTCCAATTTCCTGCTGTTTGCTGACGACATCAAGATATGGCACCGGATTCAGGCGGTTGCCGATCAGAATTTACTTCAGTGTGACCGACTCGAAATCTGTTACAGTTCAATGTGGAAAGTTGCAAGGTACTCTCCATACGACACCAGAGTACCTATTCCTGCAAGCTAGGAACGCAAATACTGCAGCGATCATCCGTCGAACGCGACATTGGCGTCCTTGTTCAGGATAACTTGGGTTGTTCCAAGCAATCCGCAATGGCCTCGAAACTGGTAACCAACACGTCGGTTTGCTACGAGGGGCGTTCAGACAACTAGACACCACTATTTTATGACAGATGCTGAATGTGTATGTTCGTCCCCATGTCGAATACGCAATCCAAGCCTGGCAACCATGGCTGAAGCACGACCTTACTGCACTAGACCAACCTCAACGTCAGGATTCTAAATGCGTCATTGGAATGCGCAACCTTCCGTACGAGCAGAGGCTGAAACGTTTGGGAGTATTCAGCGGGCGGTATTACCGACTATGAGACGACTTGATTTTAGGTAATGCAAATCATGTGTGCCGCTCTTTACTGCAAGTCAGCAGTAACACCAATCATAGAGGTCACCCCTTGGAATTAAGAGAAAAGTACAGCAGTCTGGCGTGCCGCGGAAATTTCTCTTCAATGTGTGTGTCAACCATGGAACGCTCTCTCCGAATCTGTTGTTTCAGCACCCATGCTGGCTATATTTAAACCTCCGTTGGATGACGCACTCCGCCACTTACATTTTGTTACTTGACGCTACTCTCCATCCTACTCACGGGAAATACCTTGGATTTACTTTTTTTCGCCTATTGGAGCTATACAAACGTCCGGGGTGCAGGGCTACTGAATCCAAAACAATAACTCCATTATTTTGACAGTAACACTACTAACTGCATTTTTCATTAACATTTTTCGCTAGCCTAGCAGACCACCCAACGGGGCTTGTAAAGCAATGCTTCTTTACCCGTATAAAATCACTGTTCATTATTCACTTCGGTAAAGCACATGATGCGTAAACAACCTGTCTCCTGGGCTAGGGTCGAACGGTTGCTCCAACCTCATAACTAGAGGCATTTGCGGAGACAATACTACCTGCTTTTGGGTCATAATATACCGACACTTAATAAGATACATGAGCTTTCTTAACTAGGCTAGACGCTTCCTCACATTGGGATGACCAAAAGCAGGGACGACTTTTACCCAGCAACTTGACCCGCGAAGTCGATGCAAATCAGGAATAAATGCACTGTAATAACTAGTTACGATTGCAGAGTAGATATGTATTGTGGTGCAGATAATTCCTGTGACGCTCCTTTTTTCAATATTAGGTCTTCCCTCGTCACGATCGACAATGCAACCAAGGTATGTCAGTTGCGGCATAAACAAATAACATTTATCAGCTCATAGAGTCAAATCGTATTTCCGTAGGCGTTCGAATACCTGCAAGAGGTGGCAGGTATAATAGATTCTATCTGTTGGCGCGACGATAAGGTCATCCAAGCATGCACAATCCGATGGTATGTTCGCTAGCGTAGTATCCATCAGTTGTTGGGTGGAGTCCCGGAGCAGCGTCCACTCCAAACGGTAGCCGATTATACTGATACAGACCATGGTGAGTGTTAATTTCAAAAAGGCGCCGTGCGACATCATCAACTGTCCTTTGAAGATAGGCATCTTAGAGAACGATCTTTGAAAAAGTTCTACTGCCGGGTAGTCTGGCGAAAAGATACTGCGGTAGTGGCAACGGATATTGATGGTGATGCCGTGCTGTAATCAAAACAGTTGAAAAATCACCGTAGGTGCTTGGTTCCATTTGCCTTCCTCACTTTCACTATGGCCGCTGCCCAGTCTGAGTGTATCACTTTGAATATCACCCCTGATTGCTCCAAGTGATCCAATTCATCATCGATTAACTTAAGGGGAGCGTACGACACCGGTCTTTTGGGTCTAGAATTTTGGGTCTAGAAACAGCTTTTGTCTCATCTTTTAAATAATGCGATGCCCTGTGCTTGGTGCAACAGTCAGGTGTGCTGGTGCACACCTCTTAGAATTGCTTCTTCATATCATTGGCGACTGCAGAATTCCACGCTGCCTAGCATTCTGATGACGTTTCCGGACCGGTTTGATCACATAGAGAATTGAGAGAAACACCACAACTTCAACACGGTTATCTAATCGATACCCAGATTTGTTTCTAATAACTATTGTCTATAAATGGCAGGGTTACGATATGCGTCCATTCAGAGAGGATTTTGACATCCCACGGTGCATAGCTCGACCTCGCATACATTTGCGGTGTCCGGAGTAACTCACAGAACCTTCGTTTGATTGGTGCTCCTTATCCTTCGTGATCTGGAGTTTTTGATCTGCCGTGTCATGGTAAAATACTTTGTGAAGTATGGTATAATCACGAACCCAATAGCACTATCGCATTCGTTTTTTTATTACTGGATCCTGACCATTCCACTTTATGCTTAAGTCACTTGTTCACTGCTTTTTATTTTCTTGGTTATTTTACATCTTAGGATGTATTTGGAACCATTTGGGAAATTCCGCTTTGGGGAGGTTCAGAGACAATCGGTTGGTGTATTAGTTAAACAAATAGTTTCTAGTTTTAATTATCACATCCCCATAGCACCCACCAGATGAATATAAACGGCTAAACCAAACGGCTTAACAAAGTGAATTCGGCTTATCCAGCTGAAATGATCCTTATTTGTCATCATAATGTTGCAGGGAAATTTGTCAATGGAGAATGGAGCATTTCTTGTAGCATTTTGTCTCCCCATTACTTTTTTACATCTAAGATGGTGACAAGAACAGTAAATCTGCATGCTTGCAACCAATTTGCCCGGCTCGACGAAGGCCACAACAACTGAACCTTACTTTGCTCTCACCATTCATTATTTTTACTAGCCGCGGGGCCCATCGCACTACCGAGAGCCACTTCGCAGGAGTGTACACTATGTCATAAATGTCTGTATCTATCTGCGCAATTCAGCCATGACCAGTGCCTTTCAACAACGCACTTGCGCCCATGTCGGAAACACCAGTCTGTAACGCTTGCCCGACTATTCAATCGGCAATTTATGTTGGACAGAAAATGCTTGCATGTCTGCGTCTACGTTTAGAGGGGCACACAATCGCTCCCCAAGCCATGAATTTTGCTCTACCGTTTGCTGGTGTACCGATTGGATAGCTGGACAAACGTTACAAATGCTAGTGTTTCTCATATGGACTCAAGTGTGTTGTGGATAGTTACTAGTCATGGCTGAATTGCGGGGATAGATCTGGACATATCGAACACACCGTAGATCATTGCCAAAATTGGTATTCTCTAGTTTCCTTTCCTGTGTTTGCTGGTTTTCGCCCTACATAGCATGTAACTTTTCTTACCGTTAGCTCTGTTTCTCTTCCCTCTGCAGCAGGAGAGAGCTTTGGCAGTAGGGCAATGACGGCAATATATCGACGGCTCGGATGCCACAAAATCAACCTTTGGTGCTGCAAACGTTTCAGGAGAAGGAACAATAAAGCGATGAGCATAACTGCGATAAACCACATGGAGAATATGCACGAGGACGAAACCAGGGTTCCCGACGTACATATTTCTTTCGGTGAGATGCATCACAAGAATAAATCTGGCACGTTCGAGATGGGTGCCATGTCTCATGGAGATCCAGATGTGGTTGCCTTATCCCCCACTGTGGAGCCCGTCAATAAGGAGTCACCTCAACAATATTCACAACGGACAGCTTCCACTCTGAAACTAGGTTCCAGAGGTATGATTCCGAATAGTTTACCATGCTATCTCACTTGACTCCAGTTACTAAATTGCCAACTATCACCAAGTTTTTGCTCATATGTGACGTCGCATATTCATGCTTATCGTCTCTCAGCTACTACCGTCCTGGAATGACTAACACGAACTTGTGACAACCGTCTCCACTAGCTGAGCTATTCCCAGTGCGTTTTTGGGATCACACTACGCGCATCGTACGCAATGTAGAGAGATGGACTAAGTAGCACTGTCGATGCCGGCCCAGTTTGTGGGTTATTTCCCATTTCCTATACACTATGCTACTCTTCACTATCATTTTTGTCAACCTGGGTCTCGTGATTAATGGGTTTGTGCGAATTGTGCCGTGCCGTTGGGACCACCTTCATACTTGATTACTCGCATGTTCATAAGCACAACAAATGAACCTTTTACTGACGTTCAGCTGATGCATCTGATGTTTTCGAAGTACACTCGAGAGTTGGCGGTGCTAGCCAACTAAACCTGAGTTAGTTCACATTTCAGTGCCCTAATTCTGGTGAGGTTTCGTTTCTGTGTTACGTGATTGTGTCGTTCCCTGAACAATACAATAGTCCTTTATGGTTCCTACCAAAACTATTAGGTTGTTTTGGCATTGATAACAACACTTGACTGTCTGGTGCCACTCTCTATCCGGTGTTTGTCTAAAATTCTGTTCCACTTCTTGGTATTCGTGCCCCAAGGTGGTCGGACGGGCTATACGTGGCACTGGCACGAGCATCGTTCTTATCATCAGGTGACAACCGGTTACCCTTGTTTGGTTCTACATTCTGTCGCGTATGCAGTCAAAATTTCGGCATTCGAGCGGTCCTTGTGAGCCTGCCACGTCAATTCCCTCAGTGACATACATTTGGGTGTTCAGCTCCCCAGAAATGACTTGCTTTTACTTTGACGATGGAGCCATTTCTGTTCCAACGCGTGCGCTACCAGTCTGCTACATATCCTTGTGGACTTTTCCCAGGCGACTTCTGGGAGTATTCAGTTAAGAAAGTCCTTAACAAGTTCGGACGGCACGTTGCAATGCGTGATTTTTCGCATAGTACAAGTAAAAAGTCAGGGTAACGGTCACTGAGGCCCAATGGTATGCTTGTAACTATTCCATCGACCATTCGTTCTTCATTGGTGGGCACCAGATCATGTATCGACAGCCTGTTCTCAGTTCGAAACCTGGTGGGGAAGTTATGTGGTTCTGCCGAGAGTAGCTGGAAATCAGCTCTTGCAAACAGGCTTCAATTTGCATGATATCGGTCTCCGCTATTTACAGGTCGTACGCATAAAAATCGCCTTCGATGATAACGTGACTGTATGACTTGTTCAAAGTAACCTGAAGTACGTGGATCAGTCAGGAGCCCCTTTCCGACGTAGAGTTTGGCGGACGGCAAATTGCTACTATTAGACACGTGTCTGTTCCTCAACCATAGCCGGCACCAAAGCGAATAAGGAACACGGATTTCTGGGTGATCAATAACACCGGAGGTTAGCCTTGTAATGCAGAATAACACAGCCACCCCTACCAGTTCTATAGTTCCGAAGTAGCGACATACCAGGTAAATTGACCTCCATATCAGCTATCTCAAGGCTTAACCAGGTCTCTGTGATACTAAAATGATGCCGCGGTTTTGATGGCGTTCTGTAAGTTTGGCAAATTTACTAAGCATACCTTGAGCATTAGTATACAAACAATGAAGTGTTTTGGACGTTAAAAGTGTGTTGATACACGTCACATTCGGGTTTACTTTTAAGCTGACCGTTGGACGGTCTACCGCCAACCTTTTTTGTGTATGTTCTTGGTTCTTGGATTTCGGCCAGACTGCATGGTAACACAGGGCGTTCCAGATCGCGATTTTCTCTCGTGCGTCTCTCATTTCTGTCGGGCGCCGTGAGTGCTACTGTGCCTACCACTGCAGGACTCTAGACGCATAGATACTACTGAGGTTCTTCTCTTTAGCCGAATCTCAGTTAGTAAGCTGGAGCGAAACTTCAACCAGCTATCCAGTAGGGCTACTGTTGTTCCTTCGGAATGTAATGTCACTTTCGGTATTTTCGGACCGCAGCACTTGTTGTTTGGTGAAAAAGGAATTCTTCACAACGATATAGCGAGTGAGTGCTTTGCAGATGTAGCGCCACTGTTGTCGGTCATGAGTGCGCTTCGGGATCAGGAGAATCCGTTAGTTCAGGAATACCGTGAACAAATATGGTTCTCTTGCTATCGCTATTAGAGGGTCGCTATGGTTGTCCTTTTCCTTTGACTGCTCTTTCCAAAAGATATCTGGTAGTAGACGTACACCAATTGATGAATACTGTATACTGTATTATACAGCAAGTAGAAAAGAATTCTGTACAACTCTCTTGAAATATGATGAAAAATGTTATAAGTGAGTTGCGAAGACGAATTACTGAGAGTAGGATGGTCTCTATCTGCTGAATACGATATTACTCGATTAAACCGATATTCGCCGTAGTGCACTGAATTGGAGTGACACGCTACGCGTCTCCCCGTAGTGGGCTCAACCCGAATATCAACTGCATCGCAGATGGAACTCCACGAGTTGCGATCATCTAGCAACTTGCTTTTTATTATACCAGATATGGACTCGGAAACGTTAGTGCACACGAGAATTGACGCACCCTGTTTTTAACTAACGAATCTCGGCTTGGGTGTTGTAGCTGTCAACTTAGATTGTTTAGCTAGCACTAAGGAATATCATGAAAACTGCGTCACACCGCTCTTGCTTTGTTCAGAAAATAGGCATGTGGGTGTCACTTCCGGTGTTTTTATTGAAGCGACCAATGCGTATGTTACCTGGCTCTGGGCTGCCGGTGTTATGACCAATTCGTTAGGTGTTAGAAGCAGTTACGCCAGATGTGACTTGCCCACTTGCAGATCTAGGAAGTGTCAAAGTAGGTGCCGCAGTTGCCGTGGAGTGGTTAGAAAGACTGACTACCTTTCGACTCGGAAGAGTTTGCCTTGAACAAGATCAGTGTTGATAGACTCCACTGGCAAAGTCTGGAAACTCGCCATCTGCTGGACCGTTTCGGTTAGTTTTGTACGCTTTTCATGAGCACCATTATACAATTAACCATTGGGATTGCTTGCGTGTGTGGCAAAACCAGAGCTCATCATTCAGGTCGATTTATCTCCTGGATTCTAGTTAACCTACACCACCACACTTGGCGGGGGACACAAAGACAGTTTGAACACGTGACCTCTCTTCTGGCTCTTAGTGCACGTTTCGGCTCACCACATTTGCTGCTCAGTGGGATCATGTTCAGTGACGGCCTTTGTTGCACTCGAACGCTGCACTTTTCCGTCACTCGAGGTGGAGAGCGAAAGATCCTCACCTTCTTTGTCCCATTCGTTGGTGAGTGAGTCACCGGAAGAAGATGTACACTCGGTTTGGCTGCCTTTTTGATTGCCATTGGTTTCTGATGTCAGTGATTACGTTTGGGTGATAGGCAGTTACAATTGAAGATCACAAGTTGAGTCCTCCTTTCGTAGAAAAGATCCCTTATGGGTAATTCTAGAATCATCAGATAGCGCGGAGAATTCGCTTATCGATCGCAGTTTCGCAGCAGTGAGAATTTAAAGAAACAACAGGGTGGCTCGTTTAAACGAAGCGTGCTAAAACAACCTCGGTAACACAAATCACTTTTTCGTAGGAAATAATTCCATAAAAATGTGCCTGCTGATTGGCGAAAGTTAATCCTATTCGAATACGTTATGATGACTGCGCTGGCTGAAGTGGGAGACTCGAAAATCTGTGACAGTAGAGCGAACTTGCTATGCATCAGAGATTTTGTACTAAAATCAGACGGGCTCGTACATTTGCCTTGCTTCCGGTAAACTGCTTTCTGATAATATCAATAACCCCCGTATACTTCAGTGTGAATGGCAGCGCCATTCCTAGTACTGCGTCGTCAACCCCTAAGAGTGCTTCATCGTCAGTTAGTACTCCGCGTTTGCTATCGGTGGACTGAGTTAATTTTTAAAAAGATTTTTTAATATTATATGGATTTGTAGATCTGAGTCTAGTAAGTCAAGCACTAAACCTGGTTTTAGTGACTTCGCTTTCCTCGAGTGATAACGCAAGCTTTTTCCATAGCAGTCATAGACCTATAATACAGGCATGATTCTCTTCCATTGAACACATGAATTACAGCGAAATCGCGACCACTCCGGGCCACTTATTAATCGCATGTGTCCAGCTGGTTTTAATTGTACAGTCATAGTAAAAGAATTTAGCCACGTTGAATCTGCTTTCACTAGCCGTATCAGTGGAGTCGGATTCATCATATTCACGGCTCGCAGTGTTTTACTCACTATTGCGTCATACGCTGCTTTGAATACTCCTTGCGCATCTGAACTGAGGGTCAACTTCTCTCTCTGTATACTCCACTCTGTAAAACTTTTGATACACTAAAGAGTATCACCTGAAATTTCAGTTGTTAATCACTTTGTCCCAACGCACCGTCGAGTTCGCCACGTTTTTGTTACCTATATCCATTTGATCATCTGGTTAACATAGCACGCTTTTTATTCATGCCCAAACTTGCGTGATTTTTCATAGTGCCCTGTGAATCAACCGGTTATCATAATGAGTTCATCACAATCAATTCACGTTCCGTGAACCCTAATATACTGCTAGGTGTGAAAGTTGCGTCGAACCCGTCAGCAACGGCGGGTGATAGTGTCCTGAATTTACGTGACTTCCTTCGTGGTGAACTGCAGCTCAAACATTTTGCTATTCACTGCGTGGACGACTTCTTTCTGAATGTGTTTGCTACCATATATCGGCTCGGCAAATGATCTACTGAACCAGCCGGCATGAGTACGTATGGCCTCTTAGTAAGTTGCGATGTTGTGCTCAGCTTTTCGATCTTTACAACGAATTCGGTCTCCTAGCAATTAGGTGTTGCGTATAGTCCTGATGACCTTCCAATCCCATCACACTGTATGCTGCTTACCGGAATGATGCACCAGTTTTGCAGTTTTTGGTTCTTACTCCCACTCTGTTGATCTGAGTGCATCACGCCTTCCCTTTCATTCAAGAAGTTTGCATAGCCTACGTGTACCAAGCTGACACGGAGATGTTTAGATCCCAGTCCTCGTGATACTGTTCCTGCCACATTTGCTCTTAGAATATCGGTGCATCACACACTGCTTGCTTACTAGATCCATCCAAGATTTGCACGCTTGGTACTAAATCTGCTTTGAAAACAAGCTATCAGTCCTCTATTAGTCTGCGTGGGGCCTTTAAATTGGCCGTTTTCTTTTCATTGAACATCACTTTTATTTGATATTCTGCGAATATAATAAATTTTACAGGAATACTTTGACGAAATAGTTTAACTTCCAAGGTAAACAAGACCGATATTTTAAATACTAAGCCTAGATACCGCGCACTATTCGTGGTCTGTTGGTTTTGGTCACGAACTTATAGGCCAATGGAGACTAATTAAGAAGCAATGTCCTCTCAAAACCATACTCGATCGATTTGGAATAAACACGAGGATCCTGTTTATCAAATTACACGAAGTACTCAAAAACCCGGACCCTATTACTCGAGTGACACCAATGCGCCCTTTACTGTAGCCATTTATACAATTTTGTATTTGTAAAGATGTGATTTCACTTAATCTGCAGTTGTTACTGTAAATGGCTGAAAATGCGCCCATCTGAATGCATAAAACTTACGTTGACTTCTACGGAACGACACTGCAATTTCAAATGTGTGGTAAAAATAATAGTAACCCCCCTGCATTCGTTCTTGAAACGTCAACGTAAACATTCCAAAGCGTTTAATATACGCGTTCCGCACTACCTTCCGTCGAACCATACGTCACCGGAATAGTTTCAATACTTCTTGTTTTGCTGGAGAATATCAGTGAAATCTGAAGCAGACGTTTTGAACACCATCTTCAACTTACCCTTACGTTAGATTAACCAACTACACTTAGTTATTCTGATGTGGATCCACTTATCCGTGGACTCCATTAGTCTCCGTTCTAGCCCTATTCGTGACGAAGTTGTTCTTCATTATGCCTTTTAGGACAGTAACTTTTACTTTCCACTCAGTTAAAGTCAGTTGCTAGCATTGCTGCTAGTTGGGTAACTACATTATTATTGATGACCACATGTGGTTCGAAAAAGAGTCCTTACTGACCTGAATTAGTGGAGTGTATTGTTTTAATTGACTTACATTCGGGCAATCGAACGCTTGTTGTAGAACACATAATGGCTATCTCCGAGTATGTCACTTCCAACAGCATCCACTATGGGCATTAGCAAAGTAGCTTACCGGGTACATATGACTCTTCGCTAACTGAATACAGGAAGCAGTTAAACATGATTGCGAGAGATGCGATTCGTGGTCTCTGTGGGTGCACCAAGCCCAAAGCATTGCTCCATACTGGAACCCAAAGCGACTCTGGTACACATCAATGAGTGAAATATAGGTCGTTGTTAGCGCGGCTCGTTTGCTTACAAGGAGTGTATGTTTTCCAGCGGTTTACGTTACATTGTTATAACGCCTGGGTGGTGTTTCCCGGATTCCCACATGTAACGACATGGGTATCGAGGAAGTGTGCCGCTTTGTCCTATCCGCTCACGTTCACGCTTAGTAGGGCCTAGAGGTGCGAAACCGTATGTGTTGCGGTACAAACCATCTGCGATTCCCTTTGGAACCGAGGCCTTCGTGGCCGTGGGTAGCCGAGTGGTCTGCACGCGTGGCTTGAAATCATAACGTCACCGGTTCGAATCCGCTTAGGGGCGGGCGTCCTCACGGTATGCTCAGCGTACGTGCGATTTGTGGCAGTCGGGCGGCAGCTAAGCGCTGTTACGGCGTATAGCTGATACATTATTTTTCTAACTTACCACTAACTATTGTGACTCTTACGACAAGAGGTGATCCTGTCTCGATTTTCACTTTGGATGGACTTCGACTATCTCGAGTTCGCCGAAGATTGCCCATTATTCGACAGGGACATCCGGTCGTGGTTGCCATCCTTGTTTCTTATTGGGTCAACTCCACCGCTGATGCACAGCAATCATCTTGTTGCTGTCTATTTGCGAATGAAACATTCATTGTTTTGCTATCTCCGTGTGTTTTTTTTAACCTCTCTTTTCATAGCCTTCGAAGTCAAACCAACCGAAGTCGCTCCAAAGGATCAACCAAACGGAAACTACGTACCAAAGGCATTTTCTGCTTTTGGGGCTAATACCATGGATAGCGGAGAACAAACTCTGTCTGTCACGAAACGCAGCGTACTCGCCCAACCGACTTTGCCTGTCATTGGCGAGGTGGGTAACATTTACTGTCCTTTTGACCGGTTCACCTTGAAGTATTAAGCGTAGTGCAAACTTTCACCATGTCCTTTCATAGCGCTCCAACCCTAACATTTGTGAATGTTTCGTCCGTGAGCTACCCTGGATTCAGACTTCACAAGCCTATACATAATTGGGCTGTTTGTTCCACCGGAAGTCATGACTGTTCAGCCATGTTTCAGGTTGTTGTTCCTTCGACAGCGTTTAGTTCACATTCGTGCACGATCATAAATAGAACACACCTTTTAGTTAATTAGTCTGCCCTAGTTTCTACTAGAACTTGCGGATCAGTGTTTCTAACTGTTTCATATATATAACCGTGAATGTGTTCCGCTTGTATTGTGCTTGCGAGCAATCAAAATATTGACAAATCGCAACCTCTGCTGCCGATTTACTTGCTAACATGTTGGTCTTGTGTGATGTTCACTGTTTTACGTCTTGGGGCCATATAGAACAACATGCTATCACCGATGGCCTGTGTGCTGACGGTGTTGTTGATGTGTTGAACGGTCTATGTAAGATTCTCACGATCTACTACAATGTCCTCCGGTTAAAGTAGTACCCATTCTACCCAGCAATAGCTCATGTGGCGTACAGCTATACATTCAGATGGTAATAATGTCCAGTATGTTATTCAGCAGGGCCACTAGGTGAAAGCTATGTGACTGAAGAGCAACTGGATTTAACCAATTCTACGATTAAGGCATCCAACGAAAGCGTACATACATACATGTTAGCTAGTGGGAAACACCTCAGCTACTGTGCCGCAATACATTTAAAAACGGGAAAATCCAACAAATGCAAGCCAGCTGAACTATTTTTAACGGATGGACATGGTTCCGGTAAGCTACCAGCCGGCTGCTATGCAGCAGCAATTTTACTATACAAAATTATATAAGACTAAATAGTGAGATCGCCGTTAGAGGGGGAGGCTAAGAGGGATGGATCGGACAAAGAAGCTCACAGCACGAACGCCACTGAGTTCGGATGCTAGCCATATCAGCAAGTGTATCCAGCCAAACGTGTTCATCATCTTTCGGACCCCAACCAGGGAGACGAGACGCTCCAACTGAGGCCAGCTTCGAAGTGAGGACCTACATTCCTCTCGACTTAGTCATCACTTGACCACATCTCCTTCCATCCACACCGCCGGCGCGCAAACAATGCACGTCGCTGGAGTCGGTGGGCTGGTATGCGTAACACGTGGCCGAGCCATCGGAGTGTTGTTTACCCGAAAACATAGCACCCATAATTCGTTTGGCACTTAATTTACCTCATCAAACAGAGGTAGCGCGTACCGAACTCTGGCCGTTCGGATGTTAGGCGACGCCTCTACCACTAAGCCACCGGGTCACGAAGAGCAATGGTTAATGACTGTTTGCAGCGGTCATTTTGTGACCAGCTAATCAGACTGAATCTACCTCAATGCATATGGATGACAACATTTCATTGCCGAATAACTAGGTTGCCTTACCAACAGCTTTGGCCACCGACTGGGCGATTTATTAAAAGGGATTCTCAGTAGCTTTTGGACATTTTCAGCTTGCCCTTTTCGCTTGACTCACAAAAACGTTAGCGGTATTTCAGCTGAAAAGGCAGCACCGGTTAAATGTTCAGGTTATTTGAGTCCGTTTATTCTTAAACCACAGTGGTGGTTCGTCGTTGCTCCTCCCAACTCTGCCACCCCATAACCGGTTTCGTCCTCCTTTGGACTCATCATATGAAGATAACCTCAGCTGTCATTGAGGACCCAGAAACGAAAGTCGTCGATTCTCTTTGGTGTCGTATGCACCTAAGACATGGTGATGTGTGTTTACTAGCAATAGTTCACCGCCCTCCAATTTCCACCTTGCAAATGGATCGATGCCTAGCTTCTGTGATGAAACGAGTGCTGGCACGATCACACATTCACCTCCTTCTAGTGGGGGACTTCAAGCTGCACGCGATCAAAGTTCCAGCATCGCACAGCGAACAATTCAAGGCACACTAGCAAGATGTGATCGCCGATGTACCTCTGCACAGCTATGTCACCACCCCCACGCGATTCCGAACGGGTGACACACCCTCTGTTTTGGACCTTGTGCACTCCAACGAGAAATTAATGGGCGACCCCATGATTACAGATTCACCACTTAGCCGTAGCGATCACGCGATATTGCTCTTTCGTTACATCTGTTACTCGGAGTACATTAGTGAGAACAACATGTAAACCTATGTCGGTACACATTACGATATCTTGTCCAACCTCGTTCAAGAAACCAGCTGGTCCTTCGTGGCCGAGCAGCCGACCGAAGTAAATGAATTCTTTCCTGAGGAGCCGTACTAGAAAATGCATGGCCTTAAGGGATTCAACCTGGCGCACTTACAAAGTCTCTTCAGGTAACCTGACCTGGGGTGCCTACACAACACAACGAAACCACTGCGTCAATTTGATCCGCGAAGACAAACTCTAGCATCAACAGAACTTAGCGGCGAAATTCGGTATAAATCCCGATTTGCTGCCTAAACACGTCTACAAGCTCCGCATAGTGCCTCGCGGGATCCCGGTTTTGCGTGCAACAGATGGTCCTGCGCAAACCGCATAAGACTCAGCCAACACGCTTCGCCAACAATTCATCCACGCTTTCCGGAGTGAATCATCATTTCATATGCTTTTAGCACAGCTTCCATCGCCACCAGGGTTCAACCACGTATCGTTCACGGCAGCCAATGTGATGAAAACGCTAATGTCACTGCGCGTGCACAGTTCACCTGGCGTGGACATCAAACCGAAGGCCTTGAAGACAGCGGCCATGAACCTTGCCGAGCCATTAGCTCGTTTCTTTCAACGTTTTCTGGACGAAATGCAGGTTCCCACAACGTGGAGATATGGAGTAGTCACTCCTATTTATAAAAGTGATAATCGTTTGGAGCCCTCGAACTACTGTCCAACCCCTCCTCCCAGTTTTATCCAAATAATGGAACGTATAATTGCAAAGGTGCTCATGGGATATCTTGAGAGCAACAACATCCTAGTGTCACAGCAACACGGATTCCGCCGAAATCGATCGTGCACTACAAACTTGCTGTTATCCCGAGCAAGCTGGACAGAGTCAGCCGATGCTAGAGTGAGACTCGACGTTGTCAACATGGACTTCTCGAAAGCGTTCGGTCGTTTGGACCACCGCATTCTCCTTTACAAGCTTCGAAGCTATGGAATCCGTGACCCTATACTCGTTTGGATCGGCGATTTCCTCGCTCAACTTCAGCTGAATGTGGGAGTCCGCAGCTCCATTTCCGACCCATTTGACGTCCAGTGTGGCGTACCTCAGGGATCGGTACTGGGGCCACGTTTATTCTTAACATTTATTAACAATCTTGGCAGCATAGTGCAGTCGAATTTCTTAATATTTGCAGATGATATCAAAATTTGGCATGATATCGGGACATCGGATGATCCCATGGCATTGCAGAGTGATCTCGACAGGACTTATGCGTGGTCATCCGACAATCGGCTCCAGTTCAACGTCACTAAATGCAGTCGTAGGCATACGCTCTCAGCTTATCTATGAATATCGACTTGGGAACCAGCAATTACAACGTGCTTCCCAAGAAAACGACCTCGGGGTGATCGTGCAATACGAGTTTGGTTGCTCAAGACAGGCTGAGAAGGCGTCAAAAAGAGCCAGTCAGCATCTTGTACTCTTACGGAGGACTTTCGTGAATTTTGAGCCATCAATCTTTCCGCAAATGCTGAAGGTCTGAGTGAGGCCTCACATGGAATATGCGATCCAGGCCTGGCGCAAGCGCGACGTCGAGGCACTTGAAACTCCACAATGTAGAGCGACTAAACTCGTTAGAGAACTGTTGCATCTCTCCTACCAACACATACTGCAATCCCTGAGATTGTACAGTGGTGAATATCGACGTCAGGGAGGAGACCTAATGATGGTTTGCTTAATACTGACGGACGCAACTCACCCATGTCGCAATCTGTTGCAGCTGTGTGGAAATACTAACCTCTATCAATAGGCGGTCGAGATCCTGCTGAAGTAATCCATAGTCGTCGGAAGTACTAATCACTCCCCACACTTTTAGGTCATCCGCAAACAGGGCACAACGCAAGCGAAGAAGCTGAAGTGTATAATTTTGTTGGTGAGGAACGAAATTGACTTTACTTTTTACTACAGTTTAACCTATCTATGGCGACCAGCGAAGAATATCCCCAGCGTTTTCTCTCATGCATGAACCTGTCCATGGTGACCACTTTTTCTCGGTCTTTTGAATAGTCGCCTTACACAAGTTTGACCGTAGTGTTAAATGCATAAAATGTTCTCCATAGTCCTCACACTTTCTGCTGCTTATTAGACTGAGTTAAATGGTGGTTGATTCATTTAACATCACTAAAATTTTCTACGATTTTTTAATCCTTCTGAGCCTCATTAGTGCGACGACGCATGGTGATAAACTGAAACTAAAAGTCCGCTTGTGTTTATGGGAGCTATGCATTCGTCTAGCTGACACGACAACGTCCCGTCATCGGTCCATTCGTTTAGGACGTGTAGCCAATGTCCTTCAACTAATCAGCTCAGCAGAAGGGATGATTTCTTTTATTCATCAGGGAAACCGATGGACAACAAAGGAACAATCTCATCGGCTCGATGTCTCCCACCTCACTTTGCTTCATCAAGGGTCACACTGCCTTCGGTTAATGTCCTTAAGATGCCACTCTCAGTTCAGTTCGGTTAAACAGCTATGATCCAGATATCGAAGCGCATTGCACTCAGTAACTACGACTTACATCGTCAGAATAACACTAGATAACAACGGTATGCAAATGTGGTTGAGCGCAAGTAGGATACAAGGGAAACGAAGTCAACAAGTGCGTTAAACTAATCTGGATGGAACGAAATTGACAGACATGTTCAACGAACCGAATCCAGGAGCACCACTGACTGCGCGATTGCGCCCTGTTTTATAGTCTCCATCCCCTAATCTGGATCATCTCGAGGCCTCCATCCACGAGGACGACATCAATCTGTCTAACCAAGCCTTTATACCACTTCACCGGCTGCTCACCTCGCGGTTTCGCCTAACTGGACGTAGCAAAATTGTAAGATGTACGCCGACGAAGCCGGTAAACGGGTATACGAAGGACATAACCTAGTCAGCACAAGCGGTTGAGCTTAAAGCAAACACTCGAGTGAGGTACCAGAGGGTTTTGATGTTGATCTCTCTCCAACCACTGCACTCCACGACGTGGTCCGTACTTGTTTGGGCTTGTCAGCCTGATCTAAGAGTGGAACTCCGCACATCTTAGTTGGCGGCTATTGCCATGATCACTAGACCATTGAGTTCTTCGAGCAGTGCTTGATACAGATCCTGAACCCGATAATCACCAGAGGTTTTTTGTCGAAAACCAACTGGCAGACCACAGCATTGCCGTCCCGTGGCCAGTTTACCATAGCATATTTCACTCACATCTCTTCACAACTTTTAAGCAGGGCCGTCCCGGTCATATTAATCTGAGGTTCTTGTTAAATAAATCATAACCAAGTCTAGCTATTCGCTTACCATGTGCATAGCATCACTACCTTTAGTGTCAAGAGATAGGGGTTTCTGCTGATCCCCAGGGAGAACTTTCCGTTCAAGCATCGGCTCTGGGAACTATAACCTGAAGCAGATATTCTCAGTAGAAAGACCCAAGAATGGAATGCGTCAACAGTACACCTTACCGACGTTTTACTGCCAGAAGATCACCACCACCGGCCGACATTTGTAGGACGCCGTGTTAGATGAACCATTTAATGCATGCCTCACTCACAGGAGCTTTTTCATTCAGTTGCGTAAAACTGTGGTCTGTTTAATTTGTTATTTCTTTGCATGTGGTTGCTCATTTTTACATTCGGTACGACAGCAACAGTTACCATCCAAGCTCGTTCTGTTCTCCTTCCCACCTCTACCTGTGTCATCATCGTGTTCGCTGTTGTTAAGATCTGTGGGGTGATGCTCTCATACTAGCCGCAAACAATGATACGTAAGTGGCGTGTCACGTACGAGACTGCAGAGAACGGTAAGAATGGCTGGGCTTAAGGTGTAGTGCAGGGATAGAGTGGGAATCATCAAGAACCGAGAGCAGCGTAGCACACAACTCACCTCGAAAACGCAATTAATCGGACTTTCCAATCAGTCAAACAAATGAGTGGTTTCAAAGTACAAGAAAGAAAGAAAGGCATCAACAGTACGCCAGTACGCAATGCCGACTCATCGCTGCCGCGCAGCCGCCACCGATCGCACATGAGCTGACAATACTGCGATGGTCGCCGGTCCCCTACGCAGGCTCGAACTCGCACCGTCGGCTTACAAGGCAATAAAATCTAATGTTGTTTTATCTGCAATACATTTTTGCATTGACCTTTTCAGCTGATATAAACAGAGGTACATACAGATTAAATTGGAAGCAGGGATAGATAATGGGTTGGTTGGATCTGCATACTAAACAGGGGTTTAAGGCCTGACTGTTTTATCAATGAGGTTAGGAAGAAACGGGGTTTTTTGTGCTCAAAAGGTCGCTACGTTTGCTCACTCCGAAGAGCCGATAAGGGTGACACATGCACAGTTCTCACCATATGCTCTCCAATCTCCGCGCTGAACATGTTACAATGATGTAGAGACCATCTCTTGGAGCTACAAGCCTTAGGTGCACCTCCCTTGTATGACGACTTTTGTGGGTTGTCTACCGTCGCGCGAGTTATGGTGTTTATTTGGCAGTGTGCCCTATCGCATGCAATCTAGGACTCAAAGAATCCACCAGCTTGAGTTTTTGCCCATGAGATACAAATGCCCGATATTCCTTGGTTCACTTTTGTTTCAAGTCCACCGCGGTTCGGGCTCTGCTTCTAACGTTTACGCCTGCCACTACCACCCTCTGTGGCTTTCGGTTTTGGGTGCATATGCGAGCACTTTTGCGCATGTGAAAGCGAGGCGGCTGGCGACGGTGAATGGGTGAACCACTTCACTAAACATCAAGGCAAACTGGCTTTTTTGCTACTTGCTAGTCAACACGAATGATAAAACGATTATCTCCTGACGGCTCCATCAAACATGTGCACCAAAAGATTGACGTCAGATCGGGCCAATTCATTAGCTATCACCGTTGTTGTCGAATTTGCTTTGAGTTTGCAAGCCATTTGGATGCACAAGTGTACTGTATTTCGCTCCCTCCTTAAGCTGGTGCAAAGCTCACCGGTACAAATATGTGAGTACGTAGCACACATCACAACAGAGTGCTGTTTCATACACGTGACATCCTTGTGTTTCGGCAAGCGGAATTCTCATGATTAGTATGTGACTAATCAAACAATCAGAATGGACGAACAAGGGCGGATAAACGAACCACGTGAAACAGATCGGATCCGAACAGAACCGATAGTATACGATTACATCGAGTAACATCGTCCGTCTACGTGACTCTGATTATTGCTTCGACACCTTGTACTTACACCACGATGAGTTCGCTCGGTTTTGTTTCACTGAATCTACACCAAGTGCTCCACTTGTTCTCTATATCTCATCACAATGGTGCAGTTTGTGGATGCGACAGGACACTGTATATGTAGGCATTCTGACAACAATGGATAACTGGTTTATTCCTAAAGGACTAGGTGTTTCAACATCAGGAATACAACTGTTGAAAACCGACGCCTCTCATTTGAAACAGATTTAGCGATTGAATACTTAGTTTCCGAGCTTGAATCAAGTCCAAGGGCATTCTCCTGACTTACAGTACGCAGCTCTATTGTGCATGTATATAGCATCAACGGTAACAATAACTCCTACTTCCAAATCACACTATTGGCGCATTCATTCTGTCCTCTAACTAATGTGGACAGGGTGTTATCAATGTATTATTATTATTATTATTAATGTTCACCCAATCCCTCATTGCTAATTCATACGATTTTTCCCAAATCTGACTGCAGTATTGTATGCTGTTGGTGGAACTTTTTTGCCTACTACTTTTGATATGGCCTTAGTTAGCTGCCTCTTTCTGCTCGGCATTGTGAGACTTGTGTAACCAATTCCTTTGCAGAAAGCCATGTCCCCATCGATCGGGGCTAGTCGTGTTCGTGGATGGTGGCTTTGACATTGATCATATCAATGCCTGTGGACTCTATCTGACACCACCTAGTCAGTAGCGCTCTTGTATTCGGTTTCTAGTCTAGCAGTAAGAATTCCACCCTGACTGATTTTTACTACTTTTTCCTAAGTTCCTTTGTCCTACATTCGGTTAACATTCTCTTTATCTCCGCTGATTTTGTTGTCTTAGCGATCCAGGTCGGTGGCTTAGTCACAAATATTTAACTGAAGGCAAATGGACTGTTGTCCCTATGCGAACACAAGTTTTCTCGAAATGAACAGATATTTTTGTCTTTTTACGCCACTTTGTTTTTATTATCTCGGCGCATTCTGTTATAAATTTTGACTTCGATCTCTAGCTTTTATTCATTTTGTCCGTTTGCCACATCTCGCCCCACGGATACATTAGATATACCGGCTCGTAACGTTCAAAATATGTTCACAAAGTCTAATTCTCGTCGCTTTTCCAGGAGGAACCGGAGGGTCGAAACGAAGTGAGCGACAGACCAACGGAAGCACGGGTGTTTTGGTCACTACAGGTCTTGACGTCCGTACTTGGATCATTTGCTCACGGTGGCAATGACGTGAGGTTTGTATGACGCTCGTGGAAGTCTACAGTTGAATAATTCCTGAGCCTTTGGCATTTCCGATGGGATATGCATGCTATCGTTCATGTGTATTTTGTTAACTTGTTCTCACATTATTTCTGTGATAAAACCACAGGCTGCGCTCACCTCATTTCCAATGTGTTTACTAAATAACCGTCCATTTTACTATTACTGCAATACTGACAAAGATATGACATCCCCCGACATGCTAGTTACACTGAATACAGTGGGATTTTCATGATTCCACGATGCTAACGATTTGAACACACGACTTCATTTTCTTCCGATTGATCAGTCAAAACAGCTATTAAGCTTCAGCTATGCTCCGTTACGTATACAGCGACACGCAGTTCACTTGCGCTGATTCTATGGCTGTCTGTTTATGGCCGCGGGATTCCCCTCTGTTTCTCTGACCGCCTTTAGCTACTAGTGCACAAGCCGAGCAATTTTTGATGCTCGAGGGTCTGAAATCAGTTCATTTAAGTCATCTGCTGACGGTACCTACGCAGTTATCCTTTTTAAGCACATCCTTTACCGGAGCAACTACCGTTTGTAGGCAACACGATAATTAAATAACATTGGTTTTGATTGTCCAGTAAATAGACACCAAACTTGTGCCGTATGTTGGACTGCAATAGTTGCTGGTCTCACCAATCAAATGAGAAGGTACATTGCAGCCTTTTAACCTTTGAATGAGAAACGCGTTGTCAATGAGCTCAGCACAAGACTTTTGACGTTTGGATCATCCTACTCAAAGCATTAGGGGCTGTCTCTCTAATGCTTCTTTATATTCACCAGCGTTTGTTTGTATTCGTTTGACTCTGTATGAGAGCGATGACATTTGTTTTACATATTTTCTTGCGTTAACCCCGCGCAGTTTCACCCAGAGCAGCTCGGTGGATAATGCTAGATCACAGAAGTGCTGGAATCTGATACTAATGGACGGTGGTGTATTCAGAATAAGTGTTGGTGACACATTAAATGTTTCTTCATCAGTTTCGATACACGGTGCACATTGTCTAGATGACGATGTATCCAAAACCTATTGGAACCAATTGTGAGCTGAGAGTAGAAACTTTTTAGAAACTTTTTCTGCTCATTCTGTTAGTCGGTTACATCAGTCGTTGTTCTCCCTCTGAAAGTTGATACGCGTTACGAGTTTGACCTGAGGGGTCACATGACATACAACTCCTTTCAATGACGTCTGCACATCTGCTGTAGTTTTTCACTTCCACTCTCCGGGGCGCAACTTCCTAACTGCGACTTACTTACATAGTAATTCCTTACAGCTAAGAGGAAGTGCTCGCCGTCCCAACCAAACGTCAGCACTTCTGAGGTGCAACTTAACTGCACTCTATCATAGTACTTCAATATCCAACACGTGGGTCTGCTTGAACCCTCGAACTATGTAGTATCTTCTCGATGATACTGGCGTTTGCTTCTTGACGCCATTTTGCCTGTGCCATTACACAGGACCCGCGGCCTTGAGTGCTCTCATGATATGTGCGTGCACACACAATAGTAACCGCGATCAAGTACTCCAGTGTGGTTATCATATGAGGTGATAAACTCGGTGTTTGTCTTGCAATCGCATATTCCATGAATTCCATCGACATTTTCACCCATTACTACACTGGTGCACCAGTTGGTCTGACAGTACATAATCAGCGGAGAGCGTTATGCGTTAAACGTTAACTACTCCGCACTAAACAGTGTTACAGGGGTGTGCGGCTGTTGCTTGTTTGACAAAGCGCACCAGATAATACTCACCGCTTTTCTTTAGCCGGGACATGTCAGTGTGTGCAATTAACTGTGAAATAAAGTCCATCTGTTTTGATGCGCATTATGATGTGTTCACAGTATTAGTTTCTCTGACATCAAACGCTATTTTCATGGCTGCAGATTACCATAGTTCAGCATTTGGAAAAATGATGCCATGATCGTGATAGCATCCCTTGGGCATGTCGCCTTAGACCTGTTTCTGTGAGTGATTAGTGCTTCATTTTCGCGACAAGTCCAACTATTTACAGGCCCCTCAATCCTATCTCACGCCCAAGTGTATGATTCACCATGTTTTCCCTATACGAGACGGATTTTTGTACTCACCCACCAGTGGCCTTTCTTTTACCATACATTTAAACTCTTCTACCAAGGGCCCTGTCTAATACATGTACTTCGCAAGATCAGTTGCTGAAATACACAGAATGTTATAGAATCCACCGAAATGTCTGATAATCGAGATGCTCTACCTTCTCTATCCACGAGTTCGAATCGCAATACATTTGTTCACATGCTTGCATTCTTTTCCACATATTTCAGTAACGCTATTGGTCCTCTCATGGGATTGTGGATTATCGGTGTCACACAGGATGTCAATTCACGTATGGCCAATCCCTACTGGATTCTGTTGTATGGTGGCTTGGGCATCTCCATCGGCTTATGGGTTTGGGGAAGACGAGTGATACAGACTTTGGGTGAAGATTTGACACGGATCACCCCGTCCAGGTATGTACAATGCATAACACAGCAATTCCAGTTTGGCGTTGTGATCATTCCTTGCTAACACAGCTCTGCAAAGCAGAGCTGTACTTGAGCATACGCTTTGGTCCACAGTCATTTATAAGCAGTTTCGTGAGTAAGCACCGAAAAGCTACAATCTTCCCTGTTTTATGATTCACTACGTCCTCCACTGACACATGGACACGTACGCTGATCATAACCGGAATTTTTTCACACATACCACTATGGTACACAGATTGTGGCACAACAGCAGTGCTTTTCCAAAACCTTTTCAGTCCCTTTAAGATGTCTCAGTGAATACCTCTGCTGTTTATCCCTGCTCCGACATATGCGACTAGATTTTAAACTATACACGCGGTTTCACTTAATGATAGCGTTGGAATGGCCGCTTTTGTATAACGGTGGTGAGCGCGAAATTCCAACTGTCTTTAAGCTTACCTTCCGATAACTCAAATAAAGCGTTAAAATGTCATCGGTGTATCGATCGAAATTATGCTATGCAGGCATAGTGCAGCACTTCACATTCCACGCCTGTGAGCGCATAGGTTGTAGTTCGTTTGGTGCGCGTCGGTCACTTGACCGGTGACTTTATGAAATGTCAGTTGTAGGCCGGATTTCTGTCGTAGGTCATCAGTCGCATTAGCCGCGAGTGGTACATGTGTTACGTGTTTCGGACTTGACTCTGCCAGTCAAGTTGGTGAACACCGTAATAGACAATGGCTGGTTCAGACAGTTAGCACAGAATCTGTAACCTTAAGGACCACAAGCCTGCCTTGCAATCCGGGGGCACGGGCTCGACCCTGTGTAGGTAGCGGGCAACCCTCGCAGTATCCCTAGCCCACGTGTGACTGGTGTTGGTTGCGCGGCATCGAACCGTCGGTACTGCGTACCGGCGTACTGTGTGCCTTTCTTTTAGTTCCGGGGGCTTCGATTGAGTCGAAAGTCCCACTTCTTGGCACACGTGTTTCCATTTTCATAAAGTCGATATCATTTCATCTCATGTTGCTTCTAATCTGATGCACAGAAAGCTTGTTGTTGCTAGTATGCGCATTACTGCAATATGGGGTCGCCACTAGAAGCGCACGGCCTAATTTTGAGATCACTGTCCTAAATTTTCCAACTTTTGGAACGAGAATAATAACCTCTCCCTGGTAGACCACTAGGACACAACCATGCCTCAGTTGCACTGTAAACCATCTCGCCTCGGCCATATCAAGAACTTCGTCTTCAGGCGCCGCCCTTCAGTCTGTCTCGCCTAACTCAAGCGTCTACTGCCTTGCCAGTCAACAGCACATTCTGATGTGGCCAGGTTGTTTCATTGATTTCGGTAATAACCCACTGTGACTTTATTACTTGAGCCCCTGGCCTTCCTTAGGCCCGGAGATGATGTATTTTCACTCACTAAATCACCGCATAACCATTGCAGGGAGTCATCACACCTTTATTTCATCTCAGTTTTCATTTGTTAAGGGTAATCTGGTTTCTTGGGGTATAAAGTACGAACGCTGAGACACCTGATCCACCCGAATAGCTGAACGACTCGTCTAACAATGGTATCATTGGTTGTAAAATATTTTCCTCATGGCTGCTCTGAGAACTATAAGTGCACGAGATAACCGTGTAGTTTTGTAATATTTACGGCTGATTACTTTGTTGCCCCTTTCTGAATTGCGTCTATTAAACCAACGAACTCGGATTCCTTTTTATCTCATGCATGATGACTGAAGACTTAGGGAACATAGCCACTAGGATTTGGTGCTAGCAGTTACCCTTAATCATGTGGATTGCGACTCGTCTTCGTTACCGGATTTTCCATATGTATTCTGAACTATCATACCCTCATAAAGCGTGTGGTCATTGTTGCGTGGCTCTGGTAACTTCCCCGTTCGTTTCGGCGTCTTAGTGAGCCTTGAGCCTGACGTCGGGGTTACTTTCGACCATATCCATCTTTAAAAGACTGTTTTTTCCATATAGCAACAAATGTTGCCTCTCGCTTCGTCATCGTACCTAATTTCGTGTGAAATACCTAGGTCAATCAGAATGCTTTCCGCAGGCGTCGCCTTACTTATTTTGTGACCATTTCAGGGGTCCAGTTACCGCTACTAGTGTTGCTTATATGTAAGCAACCAACCTATTTTCCTTACCGTTCGGTATACTCAGTACCGATCTCCCACAAGCCTTCCAACAGGGGAGCCTAGGCAAACGCAAAACTGATCTTGAGTTATTTGTGAAACAGTAATGAGCCTTCCATTGCGATTTCTATCCTATTGTGTCGCGAAACAACACGTAACTTTTTGAAAGCGCCTGTGTTTATATGGATACGCTTGACCCACTGCAGACTCCTCATTTGCACGAACGTTTACCACTTCAAGGAGACTTTGTTATATTGGATTCAATGGTTTTGCCTAAGTTGCATGTCTTCGGTAATTTGATGGAATAGACCAAATAATAGAGACACAGTGTACCGCTATTCATCTTTTGTTTTCTTCCGACTTATCTAGGCTAATGCATTTAAATGTATAAGTATCAACTGTCTAGTGACAAACATTGTCTGCAGTTCGGTAACATAAGAGTGGTTGTCTCAGCCGGCCACCACTACTTTACGAGTTCGAGTCAAATTTTCGCAATCTAAACCTGATGGGTTTGGACTCGTACGAAACCGATCGTAAGGTATAATGATACCTGCAGGCAACAGATAACATTTCCCCTGTTAATCACTTCTGCTTGTAACTGACCATGCCATTCTACTTGATTTGTCAGAAAGACTTGAGTATAAAACAAAGTCATATGATTTCAGAAGGTTTTGAATACAAATCGGTTTTCGTAGGGTTTTATTGTGTCAACGTTTCGCCCTTGACACAAGAGCCTGAAGAAGCTGTTGTGTCAAGGGCGAGACGTTGCCACAATAAAACCCTACTAAAACCGATTTGTATTCAAAACCTTCTGAAATCATGAAATCCCAGTCGGTTCCAAACATATTCCAAGATATTGAAAGTCATATGATAAATTGTTCAAGCGTTAGCATTAAATTCGGCAGTGTTGCAGTGTGTGGGTTGCAGACCAACTGAGTCGATACACAGCTAGTGTTTATCAACACCGGCACTTGCGGCTGCATTCGAATAAACTCCACTTGCTTGGAATATTCTGCTTTATTCCCTACTGCGATTTACCGCTTGTTTTGCGATTTATCCTGATACTTGTATTCTCTCATCAGCGTTCATCTAGTTTTGTAAAAGTGTCTCGTCCTTTTCCATTATACAGTGGTGTATGTATCGAACTTGGATCGGCTCTAACAGTTCTACTAGCAAGCAAACTGGGCTTACCGGTGTCCACAACCCACTGTCAGGTTGGATCGGTAATTGCGGTCGGTCGATTCAGGTCACGCGATAATGTGGACTGGAGGATCTTCCGCAATATCATTATTGCGTGGATTGTGACAGTTCCGGTGGCGTGCGGCATTTCCGCACTCCTCATGTATTTGTTTACTTTCATTGTGTAAAAATTCCTATTTTCGGTTAACTTTATACTGCATTAACTAACTAGAACTTCTCTGTAAATTGGTCAGGACAGGACCAAGTTTCTCTGTCCTGTTCACATCTTTAGATGGACGTCGATTCTTTTACTATGGTTGACCTTGAGAAGGATAGATTACTTTTGTATACTGCTATTTCGATTATCAGACAACGGTGTATTCATCCATCTTCTCTCTGTGCCTCCCACTTGACCCCACTCCTTGTATCGGCTCTGCATATGTGGCCTTTTTTTTACCTCAATCCTCTCGATCCATGTAACTCTAATGGGTTTACTGACACGCGGTTGGTTCTTTTTCCACTGCACCCCATGCCCATTTGTATTATTCTCATCTTAGCAAACTAAGCTATTTGGAACTGTTATGTTCCAGCACATGGCTCCTCGAAAGAAGTATAGCATACCATGATAACTCTTGATTGTGTTGTTAGCATTATGAGGTTGTGCTGGTGTGTACTTTTATCCATACAAGATTTGACCGTGTGGGACCGATCGGAATTAGTTAATGTGTATGTATGTAGGCGACTGCAGCTTATTACGCTGCACCAAATGATAGTTGCGACCAGGCTGGCGAAGTGGAGACGAGAGCAATCATCAACACTCAGGTCGTCAGCTTGATCAGTTACGAACCACCGTAACGACGGAAGGCGGTCCTGATGGGAACTAGAGAATGATATGGCTTATACACTCACTTGAGTGGGAGGTCAAGAATAAAAATTACGGGTCATCAAGGCCCATCGTTACCGATAAGGTGCAACCAATAGTTGTCTGTTGTGAGTACGCATTGTGAGCTTTGATTATCTCTAGTTACCTCGGTAATTAACAGGTCACACGAACGGACAGCTTTTGGGGACCAGCCGCCCATTTGGTCTTGTAAGCCACACGACATGATGCATATCGCACGACAGCGAATAATTGAAGCATGCAGTTTTTGGACATTTTCATGGGTTTCTATATGTGTACAACACCGTTGAATACATTAGGCTGTGTAAATTCCTTAGATTTACCCTGAGACTAACATTGCGCACTTTCGATAAAAGTCATTAAATTACCAGCTTGGCAATTAAACGAACACTGCATGTTCGTGGGAGGCAAGGGCGTAGGGTTGGGACCTATCGTCCGAGTTTCCTTGGCCCATAAACGGGCTCGTGCACAAGCGAAATGGACCTGTTAGTTGTGTTCGATTTGTCGTGGAGACTTGGAGAATATACCGGACAGCGGTAGGTGATTTTTCCTGGAGTGCGTGTTGTTTGAATTGACTGTGATACGCGGTCTCCATTTGAATCGTAATTTATCTTAAAGTGGGCCTACGGTCCCTTGGACTGTATCTGAAACAGATAACCGTTGAACGTTCCCAGCATTGCACCCATCGGACGGTTCCATGCATGGTTGCGCTCTTCAGGTTTAGAAAGCGTAATTAGTAGTCTAACTCGGTCCGTATAAGCAAAATCGTCGAACACCACCTGTACTGGTGCACCACCGAATCGCGGCGAACGTTCCTTGGCTCATTTGCATACTCGCTATGTAAATGCATTGCGACACGCAGTCACAATCTGGGCAACTCGTAACTTTCAACTTTTTCTGATGCAGCTCCACTGTGTAAGCTGACCAAACTGGACATTTTGGTTGCAGACGTTTCTTTGCCATGCCGATGATGTCCAGATCGGAGAACAAAACCCTTATCCACACCCCCAAGCTACATGTATTGTCAATAATCTTCAAGCTGACAAAATCTGATCCAAGGTAAATCATGTTACACATTGTGATTTCGTATGGTCATTTCTTCATGCGACACGTGCTTCAAACAAAATCCCCAATCGTTGTGATAATCGTTACCCGAGACTTAGCTTGGAATCTCCACTTTCCGAGATAGAGCTGCATTTCTGCTGTCTCTGATTGTGTAATGCAGACAAACACTAAACTCATGGTGTTATGTGGTTTCACAAGCGGGTGACATGTCACACTGATCAGGTGCAATCTCCACAATCGAACTGACTGAGGCTTCAAAGTTGATGATGGTCTCAATTGGGATTACTCGTAGTAACTCACACATACAGTGGAGCGATCAAGCAAACCAATACGTAACAAAGCGAATAATTGATCGGAAGGACTGAGAGTACTACGGGCGAAATTGCCACACCGATTAACACCCGATACAATGGGAACCAACGCACAGGTCAAATTCTTCGCATTTTTCCTCTGATTATGCGTCCTTGGTAATCGAACTGTTACAATGGTATAGTATACGCATCCCACTCCTCATCGTCTCTGATGCAGCTGATCCCGGTTTCCAAAAAACACCACAATTAGGTGATGCATCCGAGGTACTTTAGTCTGTGTTATCCTGTGTACGGTGCAAAGGATCTGTTATCAATGAGCTCCAACCATAAACTAATCAAATCCTTGAAATAGCGACGGAAACCTAAAACAGTAAACTCAACAAACGAACTGACACATTTCGCAGGAAGGTCTAACGTAAGAGCGCGTTCTAGATCCTTTCTTTTGTACGGATAACTCTGGTTGAACAATTCAGACGAACAGATGATCAGTTAAAAATTTACCAGCCATGATAGGTGCAACCACGAACTGTTGAAATGACTCTTTTGCCACTTCTTTTTCACAAATGGGGTAAAAAAAAGTCTGCACAGTCACTCTCCGTTTAATAACTGGTTAACCGGAATGTTAAACTCTTGACCGCTTCTGAAGATGATGGTGAGAACATAGGATAGACGCGTGGTCAGTTACGTTGAACACGAAGAGGTACAAGGAACGAAGTAGATATGGGGGCATTCGCCAAGCTGTGCATCCTAACGAGCAAACGTGGCGAACTGTGCCGCTTCGCTGTCTTGGAGTGACCGGACGTTTTAGGACTTGAAGAGACTTGGCTGAACTCCGACGTCATACCCCGAGAACTCGCGTTGTCAGGACACTCTTGTTTCCGATGCGATCGAAAACCAGAGGCTCACGGTGGTATTCTGTTGTACATAAAATGGTCACTATCTGGCAAACTTACCAGCACCTATCGGACCGAGGATAACTTATGCGAGCAATTGTGGCGCACAATCCGCTTCAGACGCGCGTAACTAATAGTGGGTGTTGTCTGCCGTAGCCCATTAAACAGTTGTTGCGATTGGCTACCAGATGTACAGAAGCACATGAGTCGCCTTCATTTATTACTGATGAGGGATCTAAATTTACCTAAGATATTCTGGCCAGGCGTTCGGTTTCTTCCTGGTCATTGCAACGTTAAGGCTCAACTCGCTAACATGATTATTCAAATCAGGACAACGCAACATGTCATCCAACCGACGCGCGTAACTCCGCACTCGTCAGCTTGTCTGGACTTAATGTTTACGAGCTGCGAACAGAAGCTGCACGAGATCAGAGTCCACGAACCTCTGACGAACAGTGACCACTGTTTCATTGTGGCAAGCATATAACTGTCGTCACCGTATTACAACCAACGGAAGTCGACATTCAACTATTGGAAGGCGGGCTTCATCGGGCACCTCCAAGCCGCAAGTCAGACTGATTGGACACAAGATGCGTCGCTTGAGCCCTGTTGGCCATTAATGAAGAGAAGCTTAACTCGCTGTGTACTCGGTTCGTTTCCCTGAAGTATTCAAAAATCGGACCTGTCAAACCGCATTGGTTTGGTACGGAATATAGACAGTTAGCGCGACGGCGTCGCAAACTTTGGGATAGGTACATCAGCTCGGGTTGTGATGAAGATTATACGGTGTACAGGAAACAGAGTAACGCCGCGAAAATCAAGAAATGCCGACAGTTCGAAGAGGAGCCAGCGTCCTCGGCCACAGCTGCACCCAAAAATATATCTGCCTACCTGAAACTTGGGGGCGACCTACAGGTCTTAGAGAGGTTGTACGGACAAACGCTTATTTCAAGCACGGAGCGCGCGGACGCCTTGGCTACGCACTTCCTCACCGTATTTCCAGTAAACGAGCGGCTGTTCCAGCACCGGTACAGGTTGCGCCAGTCTTGCTCGACAGCTCACGATGTGATGCAGTCAAAGTGTTTCAGCTACTCGTCAACCTCGATGGTGCAAAGCCCCCCGGACCAGACGGACTTCACCCACTAATATTCAAGTCCCTATCGATTATCATTTCACTAGCCGTGACAAACCTTTTCAATAAATCGCTCTCTGACGTATCTGTCCCGAACGACTGGAAATGCTCGATAGTGAGACCGCTTCCCAAGGGTGGTGATCCGAGTAAACTAGAGAACTATAGACCGATCTGTTTGACTTCGGTATTATCCAAAGTGCTCGGGAAGGTTGTAAAAAAGTGTCTGCTATCGTTCTTCGAATCGATGGACGTATTGACGCCAGCATAAGACGGCTTTACATAAGGGCGATCCTGCATCACCAACTTGATGTACGCAAACCACCAGTGGGTACGAGCTCCTAACGAATGCAAGGATGTTGACGTGGTGTACATCGACTTTAGTAAGGCGTTTGACAGAGTGAACCACGAGGTACTCCTTCGTAAACTGAGGACCTACGGAATCGGTGGCACGCTACTTCAGTGGTTAGATGATTTTATTGTGGAAGAAAAGTTTAGAATGCTGATCAATTACTACCTGACAGACTGGTTCCCATCGACCAGTGGCGTGCCTCAAGGGACTGTACTTGAGCCAGTATTATTTCTTATTCATATCAACAATCTCCCGCAGCATCTCCCGACACCATGTGCCCTGTTTGCGGATGATTTGAAAGTCTGGAGGATCATTGAGAACCAGGACGACTTCGCTCGACTGTCACAGTGGTCCACTGAAATGCAGCTCCCTCTTAACGCAAGCAAGTCGGAGTTCATCAGTATCATCAGACGTCCATCCATTCGATCATATACCTTGGACAGCCAGTTGCTCCATCCCGACACATCTGTCAGAGACCTAGGAGTGCTCTCCTGACATGATATGAAATCACTAGAACATACAGAGAAATTGTGCCGCGCGGGACTTCGTATACTCTGGGCATTAAGACGCAGTTTCTCCACATGGTCCGAAGAAACCGTCCCTCGTCTATTCACCTCGCTCATTAGAACAATCCTTGAATACGGTGCTCCAGCTTACCATCCGATAACCCAGTGGGAAACTGAAAAGTTGGAGAAAATATAGCATATCGCAACTAGTATGGCTCCTAGTCTACGAAAGCTTCCGTGTGAAAACGTGCAAGGCTCGGACTCTACACACAGTCCTACCCTTGTAAGAATTGACTTTCTTATGACCCATCGAGTACTACACTTGAATCACTTCCCCATACTGCAGCCAATATTTCACTTGCGGGAACCCTGTAACACCCGACGACACGGTTACAAACTCAGGGTCCCCTGCATGAACAAGGTATCACATCAGCTTTGTATAGAACGAAGGATCGTAAACTTATGGAATG